GAAATAAACTAAGAAGATTATATCCTGGTTTTAACTTTGTCTTGTCTTTTTCATTTTTCTTGTTTGTTTCTTTTGTTCACTTTATTTTTGTTTGTTTGTGTTTTATTTTTTTTTTGTTTTTCTTTTGTTTTCTTTTGTTTTGTCTTTATTTTTCTTTTGTTATTTTTCTTTGTCATCATATTGTTTTTTTATCTTATCAATACATTTTCTAACTTGAATTAATAGCATATATTTAGTTTTAGTATTGTTCTATCATTCAAATACATTCAAATATTCATCTTATACTCATATTTTTGTTAATTTATTATTGTCAATCATCCACTTTCATCATTTATATCTCTCTTATTTAAAATCTGCTGTGAATACAGTCACTATTAACCATTTCTAAATATTCTCATACGTAAGAACTTGAAATGGTAGCAATATTATAAAAATTACTAATTATTTTAGAAATTCAAAATATAATAATATTTTTTTTGCAAAGTTCAAATATAAACTTTAAATATTTGTAATATATATATTTTGTATTAAAAATTTTAAAAATTTAAAATTTAGGTTTATTTTAAAATTAGTTTAGAAAATTATCAAGTATTAAAAATATTAGAGATTTTAAACTCTTTTTAAAATTAAAGATAATAATATCTGAATATAAAATACTTAATAATAAATAACTTAATCGAAAAAATATTTGTTTAATTATATATTACCAATTATATTTATATTATTTTCTGAATATTCTTGTTTTAACTTTATTTTTTTGATAAAAATATAATTATAATTAAATTTTTTTATAGTTATTACTTTTAAAAAGACAAAATTAAATAATTGTAAAGATAATATAATTATAAAAATAATTTTTTACTATATTTATATATAAATAAAAAATAAAATAGGATAACTATAAATAATATAATTATAAATAATATAAATATAAAGAAATTTGACTTATTAATTTAATAATTGATATTATAAAAATTAAAACTTTTTTCTTTTTTTTAGAATTTCTTTTAAATAAAATTATTTATTATTTTTAATATTATAAAAATATTCAAATAATTCAAAAAATTAAATAATAGCAAAAAATAATATTATTTTTAAATTTAATTATTACAATTTTTTTGAAATTAATTAAAATAATTTTATTTGGTTAAGATAATTTTTTTCTTTTTGTAAAAATTATAATAATTTAATTTTTAATTTTGTTTAATATATAATAACTCTCAAAATTATGAAAGTATATATATAATTTTATTAATAAAATCACACACATAATTTTATAATTTTGAAAATTACTGTATTATTTTTTATTATCAATTTTATAAAGTTATAATAAGTATTATTAAGTTATTTTATTAATTATTCTAATTTATTTTTTCTTTAATAATCTTTAAACTATTATTTAAAATTGTATTTTTAAAATTTAAACCAATATTTTTATTAGTATAATCAAATTTCTTTATAGTTATCACTTTTAAAAAAGTAAAATTTGATAACTATAAAATAATATAATTATAAAAAGCAAAATAATATAATATAACTATAAATAGATATAATTACAAAGAAATTTGACTATAATTTTTTTAATAATTTTTGTAAATTTATTATTTATAAATTAATTTTCTTAAAATTTTCTTAATTATTATTTGGAATAATCTAATTGGAACATCCTGTTCCAGGAACAACCTCGATAAATCACGTGACATCTGACTGATTGATTTAATGCATATGATCTATATCTGATTGGCTGAACTCTGTATAACATCATCTTGTTTATTGTATTTGGCGTTTCTTTTCATTGGTGAGCATTTTCGTTGGTGCCGTCATTTCATTGGTGTGGCATTTACTAATTTCCCTTGAAGTTTTGATTGGTTGAGGATATTAAAGGTTAGTTTTAGTGTTAGGATTAAGAATTAGGGTTAGGACTGGAGGGAAAGTTATATGTAAGATTGTCTTCCTGACATTTTTTATTAATGTTTCAAGCCAGATTTAAGCTTTTGTTTTCTGTATTTTCACATTATTCGTATTTTTAATTTCCTTAATTACATGTTTTTAATCATTCTTATTGGTTAAAATTATATCACATTGCAAGTTATATCACATTAATCACAGATTCAATGATTTGGTCAATGACAAATCAAAATATTTATGTACAATTGCCAGTTTTTTACTTCAAATCGGTGCTCAAGATTCAAGGAAAACTCATGTACTATTGAAATGAACGCAGAACTTTGTGAACAGGATATGAGTTATGGGTTTTGGATGTCAAAAAGCAAGATTACACAAAACTTAACTATTCAAACTATTCAAGATAATAATTCTCTCACTATATCTAATATAGAACCTACTTTCAACGTAAAATCTATTTTTCATGTAGAACTGACTAATCAAGCACTCCAGAGTGACACAAATGAAGAAATAGCCGAATCAAGTAACCAACTTCAAGATTCTGCAAATGAAGATGAGATTGTTAGCTGTAATTTTAGTTACATTAGCATTATATTTCTTGCTTATTTTACCTATCTTACCTTTATCTAGATATAAATGCTTCTAATGAAATTGTAAATCTTTGTGTTGGTTATGTCTTTGAATCATGAAAAGAGATCAATAAGATTATAAAAACCTATGACAAACGAGAAGGATTTGGCGTTGTTTGAAAAAGATTAGAGCTACATCCAGAGGGTCATATAAAGCATCATAGTTATAAATGCAAGTTTAGTGACTGTTCTCAACCAAAAAAAAAAGTTGACGTTTATAATCACCACGATCATAAATCGAAACGACAAGGGTGTGAATGGCATGCCAATATTAACTTTCCAAGAAATATCTCGCTCATAACTCTTACAACTTTTGCCAATATACACAATCATCCATTATATCCTGATACTTAACGTTATACCTCGATATATCAAAACATTTCTGAAGATGTTCTTAGTGAAATTTAATTTCTTACTGAAAATGAAAATTTATCAATTGGCACTCAAAAAAAGTTATTGAAGGCAAAATTTCCAACTGAATCTATTCTTGACCGCGATCTTTCAAACGATATACAAAAATTCAAAATCCATACTGATGAAAAGCTGGATGCATCTCGTCTGCTAACAACACTCCTTGAACAAAAATCATATGATCATCAATGGGCCATTGAGTTCGAGCTGGACAATGAAAACTGACTTACCCGCTTATTTTGGATGTTCCCAGAGCAGATTGTTCTTTGGTTAGAGTATTACGATGTCATTTTAAATGACAACACTGTCAAAACTAACCGTTATCAAATGCCACTTTCACTTTTTCTCGTTGTGGACAACAACACTAGGTCACGTCTTGTCGCACAAGCTCTCGTGTCAGACGAAATAACAGAGTCCTATAAATGGATCCTGGAATACACAAAAAAAGCAACAATGATTGAGCCATTAGTATTCGTTACGGATACAGATCCTGCAGCAGATGCTGCCATCAGACAAACATATCAAAACACCTATTCAGTTCACTGCATTTTTCATATCAGCGAAAACTTACCAAAAAACTTCAAATCTAAGCTTTATAGCCAATATGAAAGCTTTGTCCATGACTTTTTCCTATGCTGCAACAGCTTGTGTGAAGAAAGTTTCTATAAATGATAATCATAACTTACTGAAAAGTACTCAAACGTTAAAGATTATCTGATGAGAGCGCTTTACCCCAGCTGACAAGCGTGAGCATGTGTATTTACATCAAAAATATTCACAGCGGGAATTCAAACTACCTCTCGTGTCGAAAGTCTCAACAGCATTGTCAAATGCCTATTAACAGCAAGTAGCAGTTTGTGTGATCTTGTCGATGTACTTGATGCAAGACTCCAAGATGAGACACAGTGGAATTAGTTTTTTGAATACCAGACTATGTCGTCTTGTATGGGAATTGTGTCAGTGGGTCATGATCTTTTTCCTGAAATCGACAAAAAAATGTCCAAATATCTCACCCCCACATATTGTCTGCAGAATGTCTGAAAATGTCGCAATGCCTATATTTCGTTGCAAGTCAAATGGATATTGCGAATAATAATGATGAGGTAATCAAATCAAATACAAATATTCGAAGTCATTTGGATATAATCTAACTCTTTATTATGTTTAGAATTCCAACCTTATTGTGATGGATGAATTCGTTGAGGATTCATATGATGCCAAACAAATTCTATTGAAATCAATAATTGCTGAAGTTAGGAAGAAAATGTTCGAGAAGTATGAAAAATTAAAGATATGTGACCTGGAAACAGCAAACACTCGCATTTCGTGGTAGTGGTTGATTCTATTTCTTACCTATGTTCGTGCATGTCAAACATATCTCGTGGTATCATCTGTCACCATTATTTCTGAATAATGATATATTCAAAAGTCGCAGGATTTCATATTCAAATGGTACATGTTCGGTGGTATAATGATGAACAAAAAGACAAGGATATAATTACGAGTGCCTGCTATTTTGCGAATCAAGAATCAGCGAAGAATCAACCGAACGAAATACTAACGCCAAATCCCTCAATTATATCCAAGTCTGTGACATGTATTTTATGTCGTGCATAAAGATGGTGCGACAACTGTTGCAACGTGGTGACAAATAAAGCATCACCTAGTTGCAACTAGTTGCGGCTTATAAAATTTTGGAGTTGCAACGTGTTGCAATGGGTGACAAATAAGCATCACATACTTGCTGCGCTATCTCTAGTCGTGCAGCACAACGAAAAATCAAATATGGAGAGGTGTGGAAATTGGCGTGACATGCAACCCAACTTGCTATTGATCACGGTGACCATAGTAAGATGGTGGCATGGTTAAAAGAGTTCATTGGCCAGCACAAAGAAATAGCGGCTATACTTACCGGATCAATGCGAAATTGAAATCTCCAAGAACCCCTCGAAATCCAAGCTAACGATGAAAACAAGGAAAATGAACCTGGATCAATTGAAAATTCATTAGTGTCAAGAGGAAAGAAACGTCCAGAAACCAAACGTTATAAATCTGCGACCGAAAAAAAAGGAAAATCACACACATACACCTGCAGTGCATGTGATCAAACAGGATACAATAGCGTGACATGTCAAAATCGCTAGGTATTTACACATTTTTTATTTATTCATTCTCTCTATTTAACTATACAACTCAAATTACATCTCTTTATTTAGTTCACCATGATATATTTGGCGTCGCTAGTAATATGCATCAAGATTTAATTTTTCATCACAAAGATTTACTCCATTATTAGAACATCATTCGGATGTTGGTAATAGTATTAATAATAATATCAATAGTAATAGCGTTGCATCATCATCACCAACATCCAATCATTTTGCCCAATAAAAATTACAATAAGCGCATGATTATCATGTTTTCACCCAATAAAAATCACGATATATCATGTTTTTAATAACCAATCAAATAAAAATTCTAAAATTCCGGTCCTGGTCGAACTGATTTTCCGAGATAGTTCCTGGAACAGGATGTTCCAATTAGATTCACCCTATAAATAATAGTACAAATAATAATGTAATACAAAATGTAAATAAGAAGATCTTAACTAATTAAATATAAACATGTATTCTCAAAATTATCCAATAAGATTAAATGATAATTTTGACTAATAATTAATGTGAAATTCCATTATACAACAACATATATATTTAGTCAACATTTATCTCAGGAAGTTAATAATTCAATCCAGTTGCTTTAGAATCATGATACTGTGTGACTTCTTTTTTTCTATTTAATCTAGAATAGCAATATTACTACTAATAAATATCTTCTTTGTATTTACTTAGTATAGTAACAGTTTTATAATAATACAGTACTGATATTTTATAATAATCTAGTTAAGTATTTAATAATATATAAAGTAAGTAATATAACAAGATTAATAATTATAAAATCAATTAATATATAACTTCATTAAACAATAAACAAGAAGTAATTTATTGACTAGTTAGATCAATTGATACCTTTTGATTTATCCAAAAGATCATTTATTTATATAAAATAATTTATGACTAAGTTATTATAATATGAGATATGTTATACATATTAAATAAATATAATATAGTGAATAATATTGATATGTCTGAGAATTCTACTATCTCTGCTATCTTTGTTATCTCTACAATTTATGTTTAGTTACATGATCAGAATTAATAAATTAAGAAATTAGAAATAATTTTGAATTATAATAATATCTAATGATTCAATTTGAACAAAAATATTATTATTCAATTCATTTCGACTAGACAAATTGAATAGTAATATTTTTATTCAAATTGGATTATTGAATATTAAAATATTATATCTTAAAGTAATAGCTTCATTTTTTTTGATACAGTCAAATCTCTCTATAATTACTATTCTCAGAAAAGCAAAATTTAATAACTATAGAAAAAATGTGACTATAAAAAATTTTTTTTATTATATTTATATATAAATAAAAAAGTAAAATAGAGTAATTATAGAGAAATATGACTATAAATAGATGTGACTATAAAGAGATTTAACTGTTTTAACAAAAATTAATTAGCAATCAATTTAGAATATAATAGCTTAATATTCAATAATCTAATTCAAACAAAAATAATACTATTTAATTTTTTTAATCAATATAAATTATATTACTAGAGATCAAAATATTATGTATATTCTAAATTAACTGATTCATTTTTTGGTGATCATTTCTAATGAAAAATTTATTATCAAATATAAATTAGTTATCTTAAAACATAATATCTCAATATTTAATTATTAAATTTGAGTGAAAATATTATTATTTGATTTACCTAAATTAGACAAATTGAATAATAATATTTTCACTCAAATTTAATAATTAGATGTTGAGATATTATATTCTAAAGTGATTGATTTATTGTATTTGAACATGAAGTATTGTCACTAATTCAATATATAAATATGTAAATAAAAAATGCAATTACAGTAAAAATTAGTCATGATGATATTTAGATTATATATTTAATTTGATAACTTTCTATTTCTTTTCTTCTTTTTTTTTCCTGTATTACTTATTTTTTTATATTTATTTCATTTTTATCTTAATTTAGATATATTAATTATGCAATTTTCTTGGCAAATTTATTATTTTCTATATTAGTTTAACTTTTATTTTTTTATTTTTGTTATTAATACTTTAATATAAAACAAGATTATAATTATATATAGTTAAATTTTGTGTAATTTAGAAAAGAATCAGTAATTTTATAATATTAATATAGATCTATTATATTATGTATTGTTACTGTTTTTATTGATATTAAGTTCTTGATATATTAATCACGTGTTTTATTAAAATAAGAGCGAAAAAGATTAAGTTTTTATAATGGGAGAGACTAAGA